CTGTTTTTCTCACAAGTTGTGAGAAAAGTTCATATTATGTAAGAGGGCGATGAGAGACGTCTGGCATGGACATCGAAAATCCAGCTGTGCATGTGACTACAAGAAGAAGGGTGTTTAAAAACTCACCTGGGAATGATTATAAGCACAGTAATCCTAAGGAGACAGGTAATGTGCTCAGAGCGTGGCGGCAGAAACATGTTCTGCTAGTAATACGAGGGATGAAGGGCACTTTTCAGCTCAGAAAAGGAGGGGTAAATGCTTAAATCAACGGTAGCAAAATCATTTATACACCCAAAGGAAAATAGAAACCACCTCAGCAGTGTTATCTTAATGGCAGGGAGTATAATGCACAGAACCGGAAGAAACGTGAAGCTTCAGGTCCCTTTTGCAAAGAGATAGTCGAAAGAACAACAACGTCCCAGCATGCACTTCACCTTCCTTTGACTCATCTCTGAAAAGGCCCTTTTGACTGACAGTCCAGAACTTGAGAGTCACTGCTGGGACAACCCTGACCTCTCTCTCCCCGCAGTTGTTGACATATTTGTTGTTTATTGTTTCTTTGTGAAATGAGGATCGATTAAAAGTTATTTAAAACGACAACAGCAACCTCATTCTGGAATCTCGCAGAGAAGTAGAATAATGCCACGGAAAAGCACTGCCTTCTACTCCCAACCCCAGAAATGACCCATCACTTTGACAGAATCAAAAGTGTACAGAGATCTAGGACAGGCATAGGCAAACTCAGCCCTCCAGATGTTTTGGGACTACAATTCCCATCATCCCTGACCACTGGTCCTGTTAGCTAGGGATCATGGGAGTTGCAGTCCCAAAACATCTGGAGGGCCGAGTTTGCCTATGCCTGATCTCTTTTTTTTTGTTAGAGTGTTTATTAATTTTCTAATAAAAAACATCCAATTAACATATCAAATCATAATCCAATAAAAATAAATAAAAAAATTTAAAAAGATCAAATTGTCTTCCGAATTGTAATTTTGATTTTACGACTTCCCACAGTCTGAACCTCGAAGCATATCCAAATCTCAGTCCTGCCTCTCATCGATATTTCCATATCTTGATTTTATCTCTCCACTTTGTCTCTGGCTCTGTGATCCTCAATCATGTCAGAAAACAGAAAACCTTTCGTCTGTCGAGTGCAGAGTTATTTGTGTCAAAAATTGTTCCACCACTGAGTAAAACAATGAGAGATAAGGAACTGGCCTGCAGTTGTTTTCAGTTCAAGGGGCTCAATGAATCTCGAAGGGTGTCCTGAGAGCACTAGCCTAGTCTTGTTGCGTTGGATGAGTTTCAGTTAGTAAGGCTCGAGGAGCTGGACAAAGTGCTTGGATATTTATTTATTTTTTACATGACACCCTAAATTCACTCCTTGACATGGGAAATCAGCCTTGTGATTAGGACGCTTCCCTCCCCACCGACACCTTTTGAATAGCTTTGCCACTGTTTCTAACTTCATTCTCTTCTCTCGTACATCTTCCCAGCATTTGCGTATTTCAGTACCACCTCAGCCCTGACCACTATGTCCCGGTGAATCAGGAATAGGGAACCTTCGCCTTGGAAATGCTGTTGGAAGCTGATGTTCCCTCATTCCTGGCGAGACTTTTCCCTCAGCCTATCTGTTGTGCTGTTGCTGTCACATCCCCTCAGGTGGCTTACCCATTTGAACTCCCATTAGCACCAGCCAGCAGGGCCTACAGACAGCGATGGTGGGAGTTGTAGTTCAGCAACATTTGTGGTGCCTGGGTGAGCAGCAAACATATGTGTGGTATTTCATCAAATACACCCTGCAGGATGGCTTCTGCAGACAATACTTCTGGTGCAAGGCCAGGACTCCAGGGCCCCTGTTCACATTCAGAGCAGCAACGTGGGGAAGGGGAAGTTGGAGGCGTTTATTTTGCTTCCACGATGGTCCACAGCAACACCATGCCTTTCCCCTCAGAGAATCCTAGGAACTGCAGTTCCTCACACAGCCACAACGCCCAGCACGCTTCAGAAATGACAGCTCCCAGGTGGGGAAAGCCATGTCCATAGAATTGCCATTAGACAAAGACAGGGAATTGTCTCAGGTGGTTCATTCTGAGTGGGCAAAAGATGGTTGCCTTTTCACTGGCAGGGAGGAGGAGAGGTTCCTGTGGGATTTTCTACCTCAGAGGTGTGAATGTGTGTGTGTGGACTGTGCAAACCTTTCAATCTATGCTTCTCTCAGTTTCTCATTTTCCCCAGTCTTAAAGGTTACCAGATGTCCCCATTTACAAATCAGCTAGCAGTTCGAAAGCACGTCAAAGTGCAAGTAGATAAATAGGTACCACTCTGGTGGGAAGGTAAACGGCGTTTCCGTGCGTTGCTCTGGTTCACCAGAAGCGGCTTAGTCCTGCTGGCCACATGACCCGGAAGCTGTACGCCGGCTCCCTCGGCCAGTAAAGCGAGATGAGCGCCGCAACCCCAGAGTCAGTCACGACTGGACCTAATGGTCAGGGGTCCCTTTACCTTTTACCCCTATCATTTCCACTATCATTCCGACGGAAGTTGAAAAGTACCCCTGGATTCATCGAAAAAACCTCTGGTAACCTTATCTTAAAGTCATGCCTCGTTTTCACATGCTCAGTGGTTGTAAAAGAAAAGAAAAGAAGTCTTCATGAGAATTCATCTACACTTTGCAAAGCATCCCTCGTGATCTAACACATTTATGAATATAGTTTTGGCTAATATATGCATTTTTCTCTCACATATGCGTCATTTGTACACACTGCTCGGTTGGAGAACTGAACTGCACAATTCACAGGGGTGCAAATATTGAAGGGTGGCTGTGGTTTGGTTCGCACATTGTCTCGGAAAGTGTGACTTGGGCATGTCTGCCTTTAAATGTGAACTGATCTGAATTTCCTCCTCCTGCCTCTTCATGCCTCTCCTTTGACCTTGTTCTTGTTGCTGTCGCACCGGCTACCTGGCGAAAGAATCATGCTCTTGGGCTCATATGGGTCCCTTCAGCAAAACAATACTTGCAAGGAACATTTTAAATGTTTTAATTGGGAATTGTAGATAGACAAACAGAAACATACAAGGTCTTTTTAGTGCACCAGCACTCTGTTCATAAGAGACGTTGTTTCTACAGTATTATAATAATGGTATTTTCGAAGGCGAGCGGTGTAGACATATGCACAACAATTTTGAGAAACGTTTTCTTTCTTGAAAGCTCCAGACACGTCTAAGAGCTTGTGCAGGGTTGCAATCTGGGAAATTGTGCTGGTGAGAGCCTGCGATATAGGCTAACCCTATGAAGTACCGTAGTTTTTGCTCTATAAGACTCACTTTTTCCCTCCTAAAAAGTAAGGGGAAATGTGTGTGCGTCTTATGGAGCGACTGCAGGCTGCGCAGCTATCCCAGAAGCCGGAACAGCAAGAGGGATTGCTGCTTTCACTGCGCAGCGATCCCTCTTGCTGTTCTGGCTTCTGAGATTCAGAATATTTTTTTTCTTGTTTTCCTCCTCCAAAAACAAGGTGCGTCTTGTGGTCTGGTGCATCTTATAGAGCGAAAAATACGGTAGTCTGTGTTTAAACCAGGGGTGGGTAACCTCCAGTTCATGGGCCAGTCCTGGCCTGTTAGGGAGGGGAATTTGGCCCATGAGGCTATTTTAAGGAAACCATGCCTACCTTCCCCTCCAATGAGGGGGTGACGCCAGCTGATGGGACATGGTTTGATCCTGCGTTGACTGCACGGACCGGTTTCACAGCTGAGCACTTGTAGGTGCAGTCAAACTGAGCAGGATTTAGTCCCTGCTCATCAACCGACCAGTGGGGGTTAGGTTTGGTGAGACATTCCTGTTCTTCTGCTGGGAACAGGAACACACAGTCAAAGCTCAGGTGTGAGGCTGTTTGAAAGCCCTTTTGCAAACAGCCCCGACTGCTCTTTAAACACTTCCATTTTCAGAGCTTCAAAGAGCAGTACCCCCTGTGAAGGAGGTCAGTGTTATTATCATTTCCATGTTGCCATTTAGCAGGGGCACCGACATTGGGCCCCACATTGTGGCTGTCCAATGTTGGCGTGCGCCCTGCAGTGCCATAATGAGGTTGTGATGTGACGTGAGGCCGGAACACGTGTACTGTGCCATGCTGTCATGATAGCACAGTGCACGTGTTCTGGTGCTGTGGCAGTGACTGGATCGGGGCCTCTGCCTCCACGCGCCACCTCTCACAACCACCTACTGCCTTACCTCTAGTGCTCAGGCCCTGTCACCGCCATGGCAGGTGGTGCACAGAGGCGGCCACAGGGGCAGCAGTCATGGCAGGGGGTGGAGGCCTGGCACCCACAGCAAAAAAAGTGTGGGTGCCCAGGCCCCTTGGGGCCCCTGGGGTCCCCTGGAGATGGTGCCAGTCAGAGAGTGCTAGAGAATAAGGGACCTGGTTATTCCGAGTTCCTCATTCTGCGTTCCTAGCTGAGGCCACATTTGAACCAGAAAGTTTTACAGCCTGGGGCTCGTGCGCTTTCAGCCTGATCCAACACATGTTTATTCGAAAGAAAGTCCCAATGAATTGAATGGGGTTTGCTTTCAAGAAGGCATGCCTGGGATTGCAGCCTTAACTACTGGGCTATGTCATGAAATCTGATCACCTTGTGAGGTTCTAAGAAGTTCTCCCAAAATCTTTTGTTTGGGCAAAAGTAGCTCACAAATCCCAGACCAAAGGACGGACGGATGCTTGTGTGATTTGCAGCACTTCAGGAACTTCAGGAACCGCACACCAGGGGGCGCCACCCAACCAACTCACTGTCATGGCAATGTTTGGGAAGCAGCCATAACTCATCGTGTTATAACTGGTCGTGAAGCGGCTTTTATCTCTTGTCAATAAATAAAATAAATACGATAGGGACCTGCTGTCAGAAGCTCTACGGAGCCACGGCCAGTCACTGGAGACAGAAGTGGGGCAGATGAGCAGCAGTTTCCTGCATCTGTAGGAAACTTGACAGATCACCTCTGGTATGGAGATAATAAACGAATTGGTTTGTTTAGAGGGCTAATTTGTGGGCCAGAAGGTAAAGACAGAAATATAAACCGGGAGTGACATTGTAGATACAAAATTGTGTCCATTATGAGAAACAGGGCCTTGGCTGTTTTGGAGACGGAGGGAGACATGAGCAAGGGGAGACGGTCACTGTGGGGAGCAGGTAAGTTTCCTTACAGGGCGGGCATGTTCTGGGTCTCACAAGAGGTAGGCAAGCAGCATGGTCAGGATGGTGGCCACGCAGACCAAGGGGAGGCGGGGTGCCCCGGAGTAGCCGCTGTTGCAGTAGTCGGTGTTGCAGCAGGAGTAGGTGACGCGGAAAGGGTTGTTGGAGTAGCTGATTCTGTCCAAGCTGCTGCACTTTCTGGCCGAGATGCAGCCCTTCCCGTAGATGGATTCGTGGACTTTATAATCTGCAAGGAGCAAGCGGGTGCAAAGTTACAAGGGCCGCAGCTCAGCGGCAGAGGGACTGCCTTGCAAGCGGAAGGCTCCGGGTTCAATCCCCGGCGTCTCCAGGTAGGGCTGGGGGAGAGGTCTGCCCAAAATCCCAGAAAGCTGCTGTAGGTCCATGTAGACCGTGCTGAGCTAGATGGACCAGTTGTCCAACTCAATACAACACAGTACAGTGGTACCTCGGGTTACATATGCTTCAGGTTACATACGCTTCAGGTTACAGACTCCACTAACCCAGAAATAGTACCTTGGGTTAAGAACTTTGCTTCAGGATGAGAACAGAAATTGTACTCCGGTGGCGCGGCAGTAGCAGGAGGCCCCATTAGCTTCAGGTTAAGAACAGTTTCAGGTTAAGAACGGACCTCCAGAACGAATTAAGTACTTAACCCGAGGTACCGCTGTACATATGTTCCTACAGAGGTTGAGAATCAGCAGGACGTACCGGAGCTGATAGATACTCCTGATTTTAATGGGAGAGCATAGGCATGCTAAGCCAGAAAAGTTGCCATGAGAGACGAAGCCTGAGGGGGAATGAGATCATTGCACTGCACCCAGAATGCAAGCACAGGTCTCGCCTAATCCCCATCTTTAAAAAGGGTTTTCACAGAGGCTGGCTTGGAAAGGGGATTTAGACACATGACGGCTCTCTCTCTACGACCTCCAGAAGCAGAGGCAGTATATATATTGTATGGTAGTTATTAGGGAACATGGTGGCATAGCGTGGACTGCCAGCGCCCGGGGCAGGCAAACCACCGACACTGCTGAAGTGATTCCCTCCTCTGGAGCCAGGTGGGGCTGCACAGCGCTGCTTAAATGCCCGCCCACACAGGGCAGAGTTTGATTGGCCTATGCGGCCCTTGATGGGTGAATTCCCCTGATGCCCGCAGAGAGGCTGCACTGGGATCGCCCCTTGCCCGCCTCCCTCCATCCTTGCCCATTCGCCATGGGCCTAGACTGCTCCCACTACCGTGTGGGGAGAACAGGATGCCGAGCAAAAAAGCAAGCACCTCCGCTGTTGCTGACCCCTGCCAGGGACAGCAAGGCCAGGCCAGACTCTGGGACCCAGAGACCCCCAGCAGCAGGCAGGGAGGGACAAGGAGCCAGGGAGAGGGCCTGCCAGGATGTGCCTGGGTGGTGGCCATGCCTCTCGCCAGCCTCCTGCCAGCCTGCCAACTGTAGTAGACACTCGGTCTGGCCTGCAGGGTACCCATGAAGCCCCACGCCACCTCCGGGCAGGCCATGGCTGCACACAACTTCCTGACTGGAGGCTGGAGGGAGGGAAGCCCATCCCTGGGACAGTGGCACGAACCTGAATGCCCTCTGATGGTACTGCAGCTCTCTCCTTCATTGCAGGTCACACTCATCTCTGAGCAGGGTTGATCGAAGTCGCATTTGAAGCAATGGAGCACTGTTCTCGGCTCCGTGATGTTTTGGCCCAGGGCTAAAGTGAGGGAAAAGGGAGAATCATGCAGTGACACGCAGACCCTGCCTTCCAAGTGCGGAGAAACCTCCATGGTCCCAGCACATGCCCTCAGGGTCTGGGCCATAGCTGTCAAGTGTCCCTTATTTGGCGGTACAGTCCCTTGTCCCAGCGCTGTGTCCTGCTGCTGTCCCTTATTGATGATGTCCCTTAAATTTCCCGGGTTTCAAAGGAAGCAGCTCCTCTCCCTCCCTCCCTGCCGGCCAGTGAGGAGGAAGGCTCCAACTGTGTTGCTTGGCTGCCCGCCCCCCCCAGCCTCCTCTCACCAGACTCAGCCCCCGGGAGCCCCTCCCCGCCAGGACTGAGGAGCCTTGAGAGGAGAGCGAGGGCAACCATAGAGAAAGCAGTTCAGAGAGAGGAGAAGGAGGCGGAGGCGCAGGCAGGTGTTCTAAGGCCTAACCATAGAGGGGGAAAGCGGAGGAAGGACCGCAAGCGCTTCTCCCATAGATTTGTAGTGGTAGACTAGCATAGATGGTCTGATCTGCGGGTTTACTTCAGGCGCTATTTCCCCCCCCCCCCATCCTCCCACCCTGCCTGATGGAACTGAGAGCTACAGATGGAGCACGAGAGAAAAGATACAGAACTGCAGCAGCATCTTCGTAGCTTGGACTTCGTTTTGCGCAAAAAGTGGTTGCTGCTTGTAGTTATTTAATTGCAGTGTTTCATCAGCTGGTGTCTTGAGCAGCAACCTCTGGAAACGAAGGGCTAAAAACCGGCGCTGCTCTCCCAAATTATTTGGTCCCTTTTAGCTTCGTATTTCAGCTGATTGACTAAAATCCCTTATTTTGGCTGCTGATCCCTTATTTTCGAGGCTGCTGGTCCCTTATTTTCAAATCTGTAAGTTGACAGCTATGGTCTAGGCTCCTTAGAACAAAGGTCGTCGGAGTGGGCGCTCCTACCTTTGCGATGCTTGGTTTGATCTGCACAGAGATGTGAGCTTGCAAACCGCTTTGAGGTTCTTTTCGCGATCGAGCGGCAGGTGCATTTTGTGACATGAAGAAGTGAAACGTGGCGCTGAGCTCAAAGCGCTGACGATCCCAAACTGCTTCCGCTTTAAGTTTTCCCTTGGGTTCTGCCCAGAGAGGAAGTCTCAAGCCTCTACAGACACATCCGTACCACAGATTTTAATATTGGGGGGACTGTAATTCTGTAAGGCTCGTAACAGCAAACAAATAAATCGAAGCCTCCTTCTTGGTTTCCCCAGAAACGCCTGTTTAGCCATTGTGGGGGAAAAGATGAGATAGACAGAATCTGATCTGATCCAGGGACCCAACAGGTCTCTCTCTTCATCCCCATTTAGGCCTTTATTTGGGTACAAACGGCCTCGGTCCAGTATACCTGAAGGAGCATCTCCACCATCGTTCTACCTGGACACGGAGGTCCAGCGCTGAGGGCCTTCTGGTGGTTCCCTCATTGCGAGAAGCAAAGCTGCAGGGAACCAGGCAGAGGGCCTTCTCGGTAGTGGCACCCGCCCTGTGGAACGCCCTCCCATCAGATGTCAAATAGATAAACAACTACCGGACATTTAGAAGACATCTGAAGGCAGCCCTTTTCAGGGAAGTTTTTAATGTGTGACATTTTAATGTATTTTTAATCTTTGTTGGAAGCCGCCCAGAGTGGCTGGGGAACAAATAATTTATTATTATTATTATTATTATTATTATTATTATTATTACAAATGAAGAGAGAGATCAACCTGTTGTGTTCTTTAGCCCCACTCGGGAGCTCTTCAAGTTCAAACGCCCCCATTTGTGCAGAGCCTGCACACATAAAAACTGAAGGTCACCCCAGGTCCTCCTCCCTGCTAGACCTGGGATCTGCCGTTCACCCCGATTACTGGATTGTGTGCCTGGGAGAAGCAACCTCAGCTCTTTTCGTACTCAAAACCTGACTATGCAGATGTCAGGGGTGGGGCCCTTGGGAATGACTTTAGCTGACCTCACATGTACACACCTTGGTTTTCTTTTGCACTTGAAGGAGTGCTTCAGCAGGATTCCTGTGCTCTGAGAACTCCCTGGGGAGGGACGAGTTAAATCGCACTGCCACTCACCTCACCTTGACGCCTGCCTGCCGGTTCTTTTTTTGGCGACTTCCTTGTGGTTGTGCAATTTGGATGTGTCTGGGCTGAAGTGCTTGTTCTTTGAAGCTACTTAGCTTCTTAAAAAAAACCCTTCTCTTTATCTCTCCCTCTCTCTCAAGGTAGGGGGAATAGGAAAGGCACTTGGGGTTCCTCAGAAGGCAGTCAAGAGTGCTGAAGATCCAGCCCTCCGGCGTGATCTTGCTGAGGAACACAGTGCACTTCAAATATTCCCACACTGGAAAGGACAATCGTTGGGAGGAGACCTGACCTCCTCCACCCCCTCAACGTTCAGGAGACCTGGTTCCTTACCCCCAGATATTGAGGGGGTCCCAAGACCCCAAGACCCCCTGTAGCTATTGCAATGCGCTCTATGTGGGGCTACCTTTGAAGGTGACCCGGAAACTACAACTAATCCAGAATGCAGCAGCTAGACTGGTGACTGGGAGCGGCCACCAAGACCACATAACACCGGTCTTGAAAGACCTACATTGGCTCCCAGTACATTTCCGAGCACAATTCAAAGTGTTGGTGCTGACCTTTAAAGGCCTAAACGGCCTCGGCTCAGTATGCCTGAAGGAGCATCTCCACCCCCATCGTTCAGCCCGGACACTGTGGTCTAGCTCTGAGGGCCTTCTGGTGGTTCCCTTCCTGTTAGAAGTGAAGGTACAGGGAACCAGGCAGAGGGCCTTCTTGGTAGTGGCACCCGCCCTGTGGAATGCCCTCCCACCAGATGTCAAAGAGAAAAACAACTACCGGACTTTTAGACGACATCTGAAGGTAGCCCTGTTTAGGGAAGCTTTTAATGTTTGATGCATTACTGTATTTTAATATTGTGTTGGAAGCCGCCCAGAGTGGCTGGGGAAACCCAGCCAGATGGGCGGAGTATAAATAATAAATTATTATTATTATTATAGCTGGTGACATGCCCACAATCTAATTCCGTTTTCAGTGTTTCTCCATCTTGGGTCCCCAGCTGTCGTTGGACTGCACTTCCCATCAGCAGAGCTAGCAGGACCAGTGGTATTTCTAAATTTGCATTTGCTAACAATCATTTTGTGCAAATATGTGTCCTCATCTGGGCTGATGCGTTTTCTCTCTTTCGGCGATGCTTGGGGGTGTGTGTGTGTGGGGGGTGTCACCCTCCCCAAGAGGCTGGTGGTGAGATCAGCTTGAAGGGCATTGCAATTGAAAAAGTGGAAGGCAGGGAAAGCGCAAAGCTCCCCTTTCTTCCCTGAGGCTTCTAGCATTCATGTCATAGCCGCTTTAGCATACAAAATCAGCAGAACATAAGAAAAGGCTGCTGGATCAGGCCAGAGGCTCATCTTCGCCCAGTTGGTTGGCCCGTTGGAAGCCAGCAAGCAGAATCTGAGCCCAAGAGCCCTCTCCCCTCCTCTGGTTTCCATGCTGTCCATGGAGCTGTCCATGGAGGCGCAGGTCAATTCTGTGTCCAGGAACGCCCTGTTTACCAGCTCCATCTGGTATGCAGGCTGAGACCCTGCCTGCCCACAGACTGTCTCGCCAGAGTGGTGCATGCTCTGGTTATCTCCCGCTTGGACTACTGCAATGCGCTCTATGTGGGGCTACCTTTGAAGGTGACCTGGAAACTGCAATTAATCCAGAATGCAGCAGCTAGACTGGTGACTGGGAGTGGCCGCCGGGACCACATAACATCGGTCTTGAAAGACCTGCATTGGCTCTCAGTACGTTTCCAAGCACAATTCAAAGTGTTGGTGCTGAGCTTTTAAGCCCTAAATGGCCTCGGTCCTGTATACCGGAAGGAGCGTCTCCACCCCCATCGTTCAGCCCAGACACTGAGATCCAGCTCCGAGGGCCTTCTGGCGGTTCCCTCGTTGCAAGAAGTGAGGTTACCGGGAACCAGGCAGAGGGCCTTCTCGGTAGTGGCGCCCGCCCTGTGGAACACCCTCCCATCAGATGTCAAGGAAATAAACAACTACCAGACTTTTAGAAGACATCTGAAGGCAGCCCTGTTTAGGGAAGTTTTTAATGTTTAATAGACTATTGTATTTTAATATTCTGTTAACACTCAATTGGGAGCCACCCAGAGTGGCTGGGGAAACTCAGCCAGATGGGCGGGGTATAAATAATAAATTATTATTATTATTATATTTCCAGAAACTGCTATTCAGAAGCATTCAGAGCACAGCCATCATGGCAAGTAGCCATCAATAGCCTTGTCCTCCATAAATTTGTCCCATCCTCTTTTAAGGAGAGGGAAGCAGCAGACTCACTCCAGTCAGGCAGCAGTTCAAGGACTCTCTTACACCAGATCTCCAGGGAGAAATATCTCTGCACACATTTTCAATAGGTCCTTTGGATGTTTGCAATGACTTGGAGGGGTGATGGAAGACATGCTTGTGGTTGACCATGGCCAGAGGCCAAAGTGGACTTAGATACCAAAATCCCAAAGGAGCAGAAAAGACTATTTATGTATGCGACCACGGGCTGCACAGATGTTACTGGCCGAAAGATGGAAATAATGTAAAGTTCCTACCAGAGAAGAATGGCAAATGAAGTTGATGGACTATGCTGAAATGGCTAAAACGACTGGAAGAGTCAGAAATCAGGAAGAATAAGTTATCTTAAAGACTACTGTGAACAGTTAAAATCGTTAGTAGGATTGGAATATCACTTGTAGTTTAAGGTTGATTCTGAGCATAAAGGAAGAAGTAAAGAGTTTGGATTGTCATAAAAGATGGAGGATGGAAGTCCAGGAGATTCCTTGGAATCTTGCTTTTTGATTTATGTTTGCTATATCTCTGCAAATTTTAAGTTGAAAAATCAAATAAATGGTTTTTTTTAAGTGGGCTGAGCAACAAATGCACCGTATTTTTTGCTCTATAAGATGCACCAGACCATAAGACGCACCTAGTTTTTGGAGGAGGAAAACAAGAAAAAAAATATATTCTGAATCCCCAAAGCCAGAACAGCAAGAGAGAATGCTGCACAGCAAAAGCAGCGATCCCTCTTGCTGTTCTGGCTTCTGGAATATATGCGCAGCCTGCATTCGCTCCATAAGACGCACACACATTTCCCCTTGCTTTTTAGGAGGGAAAAAGTGAGTCTTACAGAGCAAAAAATACAGTAAATTCATAGATTTATACATTCATAGGACTGTAGAGTTGGAAAAGACCACAAGGATCATCTCATCCAACCCGCTGTGATGCAGGAATCTTTTGCCAAAACTGAACCATTATTATGCAGTAGGCTAGTTTCTGCACACTCTCACATCCCCATCCAGGCAAGCATAAGGCATTATTGGAGCTCATAGATGGAACCCACCCACTCCAGGAGAGTGAGAACCAGGGTTAGTGAGAACCAAGCCATGGTCTGGGAAGAGGACCAGTTAGAGAGGCCTTTTGGGGGCTGCCTTTGGCTTCCCTCCCCCCGATTTTGAGGTTCCCCTACCGCAGGTGTGCACAACCACAGCCTAAACCACCTGCCGACCTTGCAGTTCATAGACCCTCACTGGAAATAAGCAACGCCCACAGCTGCGGTCGGGTGTGCAAGTCTGGTCCAAGCAGCCTTCCACCTCCCAGCTCTTCTTACCTATTTGTAAGATGGATGCTGTGAGAAGCAAGGCAGCGGCAGCTCTCCCGGCCATAGTCCCGAAATATTCACAACAGAGGCAACTGGAAGGTAGACGGGTAGAAAAATGACACCTCTGGAGGAACTGCGAAAAACGCCAGGCACAGATCTGTTGCTACACGGGCTGGAGCTGAATCATGACAGCCCTATATATTGCAGCGGCAGTCCTCTGTCACAACCTCGGTGTCTTCGAGCTGACAGTGGGTGGAGATTAGTTTATTGTACCAGACACACCCTTTTCATCTTGGTGTTGAGTTCTGCCGTGGCCAAGCATGTGACGAGACACCCTCAGTAGGTGTGCATCACATGAGCCTTGGAGATGTTTTTTGCCAACCTCAAGCGATTTTTTTTTTTTTTGCATGTTCTGGATTGTTTTACAACTTCTGCTTTTATTCTGTGCTATTTTAAGTGGCTTTTAATTAACAATGTGCGGAGCACTCCCCGTCTTGTGAAACCAGCACGGTTTGCCAGAGTTTCCACGCTCGTCTCGAGTTTTGGTACGGACAGTGATTTAAGTATGCACGGGTGTGAATTATTTATGTCTTTTTAAAAGGTTTTTGTTTATACTTTTCAAATTTATAGATTTCATTAGTTTTACAGCCATTTTAACATTTCAAAGCTTGACTTCCTTCCCCCTCTTTCGGGGGTTTCTTAATTATTATTTTTTAAATATCTTCTGCATATCCAAATTCATTTAATTTGCTCATTTTATTAACTACTTTACATATATATGGGACACGGGTGGCGCTGTGGGTAAAACCTCAGTGCCTAGGACTTGCCGATCGTATGGTCGGCGGTTCAAATCCCCGCGGCGGGGTAAGCTCCCATCGTTTGGTCCCAGCTCCTGCCCAACTAGCAGTTCGAAAGCACCCCTAAGTGCAAGTGGATAAATAGGTACCGCTTTATAGCGGGAAGGTAAACGGCGTTTCCGTGTGCTGCGCTGGTGCAGGCTCGCCATAGCAGCTTCGTCACGCTGGCCACGTGACCCGGAAGTGTCTGCGGACAGCGCTGGCTCCCAGCCTCTTAAGCAAGATGAGCACGCAACCCCAGAGTCGGTCACGACTGGCCCGTACGGGCAGGGTACCTTTTACATATATATACTCTTGTGAAACTGCAGGTTATTGCAATAATCCTGCCAATGTTTTTATCTGTTTGCAATTTATCTGTAAATATTCAATAAACCATTTCCATTCTTTTATTATGTTATCTTGATTTCTTATTCTTCTGGTTAAGTTTTGCCATTTCTGCGTATTCCACAAGTTTTTATGTCTATTCTTCCTTTGCTGGGACTTCTGCTTCTTTCCATTTCGGGGCGAGTAGCATTCTTGCCGCTGTAGTCGCATACATAAATAAATTTCTATACAGTTTTGGTAGTTCTGTCCCTATAATTCCCACAAGATTATTTATGTCTTAGTATAGCCTTTGGCAACCTGGGACCACCCACAGCTATAACCCCCCCCAACCGTCTCGTTTTAACCGGGACATCCCAGAAAAAAGAAGTCAATCCCAGCTTCTGTTTGCATCCCAGAATGCCATGTTTAAGACTGGCACCCTGGCGCGTCAGCAGGGTTGCGCCCGATCCTGTTAACGAGTGTCAGAGCACCTTCTGGCATCACTCTAACATTGCCAGGGACTTGCCAGGATGAAGCCCCTTTGCCCTGCCACATCCCATTGACTATTGGGATGGTGCAATGGCCCTCTCAAAGGGACACACCAGAGTGCCTCTCCGGGCCTTGCGGAGGGGGAACAGGCTAGATTTGGGACACAAAATGTCAGAACATATGCCCACAGCTCCCATCAGCCCCAGTCAATATATTTTCAATGACTCAAAGCACAGACTGGAAGAGCCCAAGGCTTGGACTTGGGGATCGAGGGAGATTCCCCTCAAGTGGGTCCCTCGAGTCAGCATGGAGGGGCTTCATGAAGACTGTGAGGAGACTGAGTTTTGGGGAAATGGGAGAAGGGCGTTGTATGTGAACTGAGAGGAATAAAATCTGTGCCAAAGGAGTGACTATTTCAGTTTGTTTTTTATGTGGGCACGACTAATTAGCCACTTCTCATAACCCTCATTATTTTGGGCCTAAAAGCAACAAAGGCTTGTGACATCTTATTGCCCAAGCCAAGTGACTCCCACAGCTGGGCAGACACCTCAGGTTACCGACCGAGCCAAGCAACACCCAAACTATTGGGGTGTTTGAACTACAGCAGGGCTGAATATGCCCCCCGTACATTTTTGTAGAGCCATCCTGTCCCCCTCATAAAAGGAAGCATCAGGTGTGTGAGGTGGGTTTGAAAAATGAAAATCTTTGCAGAGGGTGGTAGTGGAGGCAGCCATTTTCTGCAGGTGCCCCAAGCATAGCTGTCAACTTTCCCCTTTTCTTGCGAGGAATCCTATTTGGAATAAGGGAATTTCCGTTAAAAAAAGGGAAACGTTGACAGCTATGGCTCCAAGAGGCATCTGGGAGGCCAACATGAGAACAGGATGCTGAACTTGATGGCCTTTGCAGACCCTCCAAGTGCCCCCATTTTCCAGGGACAGTCCTGAATTTACAGAGGCCATCCCAGTTTCTGCTTTGATCCCAGAACGTTCCGCTTTTCCTCAGGACTTTCCTATTTTCATCGGAGAAATGTTGGAGGGTATGGAGTTATGAGGCCCCCAAGCCAAGGAGATAACTATACAACCTTTAGAAGACATCTGAAGGCAGCCCTGTTTGTTAATGTTTAATGTTTTATTATGTTTTTATATATGTTGGAAGCTGCCCAGAATGTCTGGGGCAACCCAGTCAGATGCGCAGAGTATAAATTTAATAATAATAATAATAATAATAATAATAATAATAATAATAATACAGTAGTACCTTGGTTTTTGAATATAATCTGTTCTAGAAGACCATTGGAGTTGTGAGATGTTCGAAAACCGAAAACTCAATACATAAGCCTCTATACAATACAGAAAACTCAATACGGAAGCCTCAGTGCAATACGAAAAACTCAATGCAGAAGCCGCAATGTTCGACTTCCAAAAAGTGTTCGAAAAATGAAGCATTTACTTCCAGGTTTACGGCGTTTGAAAACCGAAATGTTTGTCAACAGAGACGTTTGAAAACCATGGAACCACTGTAATAATAATAATAATAATAATAATAATAATAATAATAATATAGGATAGGATACCTCTATTTTCATCGGAGAAATGTTGGAGGGTATGCCTTTGGCAGAGATCTTCTTATGTTCTGCCTTTGGCAGAGATCTTCTTACGTTATTTTACTAGCAAAATCCACACCTAAGGCCGAATTTCCTGGTACCTCCAAGTTTCTCAATCTGATCAATTATCCCCACCATCTTGTTTGCGTCCGACTTTTTCTGACCCCAAACTGGGACACACATCTTCCTGGATGTGTTCCTACACGAGTCACATGGCCCACCCCTTGCTCCCACTTTTTTTGTGGGAGGTGGGGGACCAAGAGTGCAGCAGAACAGTGTGTGAGATTGCGGCACCCAAAATGGCCGCCGAGATCTCGCGTAAAAAAAACTGGAGGTCCCTTTCTCCCCGGGACTCTTGGAAGGTGTGCATCCACTGCGGGCATTAAGCTTCATCTTCATGGTTTTGCTGTAAGAATAAAATGGGGAGTGGGAGAACCACTTGAAGGAAAGGTGGGCCATAAAGGGAATCTTCGGTAAAAGTTGCTGAGAGGTCCGGGAAGATAAAAGAGGATTGCATTTGCTTTTTCTCCCAGCTAAGATGGCCGACAAGAGTGATCAACACAGCTCTGATCTCCAATCTGGGCTATAAGCCAGGCTGAAAAGGGGTTAGATAAACTGTCACCCAGGAAATCCTGCGTTGGACAGAGATCATTCTCTCAAGTATCTTGCTTTAAAAGGGGAGATTAGGGAACACCTAATAATTGGAGAAACTCCTGGGATGCAGGTAAGGATTATTATTATTTTTTAAAAGAAAAAGTTGGCTCACAACAGCCAAGAGTTATATGTCACCAGAAAAGAATAAATGCTTCACCAAAACAAGTACAACTATTTGAGTAAAATTTACCTGTGCTGATATACAGGGCTTTTTTGCGGCAGTGCTCACCGGTTCAGAGTACCAGTACCTCTTCCTTTTTGCTGCCCATGGCAGCCTTTATGTGCTGGCAACCACCACAGTCATCAACATATGAGTACCCAGGATCTCATTTTGTTTTTATTTATCAAAAATAAAGGTAAAGGTAAAGGTAAAGGGACCCCTGACCATTAGGTCCAGTCGTGGCTGACTCTGGGGTTGTGGCGCTCATCTCGCTTTACTGGCCGAGGGAGCCGGCGTACAGCTTCCAGGTCATGTGGCCAGCATGACTAATCCACTTCTGGCGAACCAGAGCAGCGCGTGGAAACGGCGTTTACCTTCCCGCCGGAGTGGTACCTATTTATCTACTTGCACTTTGACGTGCTTTTGAACTGCTAGGTTCGCAGGAGCAGGGGCCGAGCAACAGGAGCTCACCCTGTCACGGGGATTTGAACCGCCGACCTTCTGATCGGCAAGCCCTTTTACATATAGATGTGACTTTAGAAAGGCCAGGAGGAATTTAACACCACGTTGCTAGAAATGTTCATCAGCATTCCCTGATGGCAGTATCTCCCCTTTTCTCCCAGCCACCCCATTCTGTTCTGAAGGGGGTGGGGTTCTGCCGACCCCCTCCAAGACAATTTGGGGAGGTGCAGGGGAATGGGGGGTGGAGAGAGATGGGGGGGGGAAGCCTTGTGGCTCTAGCAGACCCCCTCATGCGAGTTTCCACCAACAGGACCAATTAGCAGAACTTGGCCCATTTTGTTGTTGTTTAGTCGTTTAGTCGTGTCCGACTCTTCGTGACCCCATGGACCAGAGCACGCCAGGCACTCCTGTCTCCCACTGCCTCCCGCAGTTTGGTCAAACTCATGTTCGTAGCTTCGAGAACACTGTCCAACCATCTCATCCTCTGCTGTCCCCTTCTCCTTGTGCCCTCCATCTTTCCCAGCATCAGGGTCTTTTCCAAGGAGTCTTCTCTTCTCATGAGGTGGCCAAAGTATTGGAGCCTTAGCTTCAGGATCTGTCCTTCCAGTGAGCACTCAGGGCTGATTTCCTTCAGAATGGATATTT